GTAAAGGAGACGTATACTAGCTATATACGTAATCTATCTATTCTTAAGTTATTATCTATTAAATCTAGTGGGCTATATGACATAGGGTAGTGGCTATAGACGTAGTTTTAAGTTATATATGAGGTCTTAATGGATAAAACCATATCTTGTAGCTCTAGTGTCGACTAAGGTAGTTACTAATTATTTGGCGCTACCTTACTGGATTATATAGGGAATGTTAATCTATATTTCCTAAGTTCCACCTAATAGATAAGTCTATAGATCTATCGAGACTTATATCTAGCGTAGTCCCATTAAGTGACTTATCTCTAGGACTAGGCTTTTCCCTATGATGATCGTCGTTATCGCGAGCATGATTAAGATGAGGAGCGAGAGCTCGTATCTAATAATACGTCTAATCTAGGTGACGGCGTATGTTGACTTAGAGAGCCCTATTAATCTATAGTCTATATCTATGTCTTCTTAGGGCACTCCCTAGCTATATGTCCATGGGCGCTGTATGTGAAGTAGAGTCCTTTCTATTGGTATTAATCCTTCTTCTACTCTAATAGAGTCGCGCGCGATAATATATCAATCTCCATTATATCTAGGTTAAGCTGCTGTCTTGGAGTCGTGACCTTATAGGTATAGTTTAATTAGTGGGTTGGGCGGGTAGGCAGGTATTAGAGGTTATTATTATATTAGGCGATTAGGTTGGCGTATTCGTTAATATTAGATGGGATTTTGGCTCCTACCATTGCACGTTAGAGGTTATTAGATAGTAAGTGGCGTAAGGCATTAATCTGTGCTTCCTTATTTAGATTGGTATCTGCTATAAGGCGTTAAAATTTAGTAAAGTGGCTAAGGAAAGGGCACTTTCCTTATTTAAGGTTATCTAGCTTGCTCTAGGTAGATAGTATTCTATTTGGATTGTCATACGTAGCGTGGAGGAAGGTGATTAGCTTCTCTATAGTAGCTATGTTAGATCCTATTAGCGGATCTACAAGCATTATAGGGTTATAGTTAAGTCGTAAATGCGCGTATATTAACTTAGCGCGTTTAGTTGGGTATTAGTTAGCATTACCCTCCAGCTTTATGCGCAATCGAGAAATGAATAGAGGTAGGTCCTTCCTCTTGCTGGTGAACATGGGCGGGTTAGGTAGTTGGTCGCTCAGGTGCACCGTCTTCATAGTTATCAAGCCATCGCTAGATGGCGTCATAGAGGGCTCTGATGACTCCTCAGC